AAAAAAGCAGCCTGAGTCTTGCAGAGCTGGTGCTTGCTGTGCTGCCTCGCCAAACCACGGGCTCTGCCCACCACCAAATCACAGCGTTTTGTCATATTTTAAGCACCTGAACACAGATACTAAGACTTTGATCCAAAACCCATCAGAAACAATGGACACATTTCTGCTAAATTTTGAATGTGGTTGTAAATTAATAACAAAGATCTAATCTACATTTTTTTCCTCTGCATTCAGACTTCAGAGTTTAAAGAATTCTAAATAATAAGAAGAAAGGCATTCCAGTAGGCAATTCAGATCACTGAGGTACTATAAAAAACTCCAGTCAGGAAACCAAGTGCACAAGAAATAATAAGTAATAAGCAAAGTGTTTGTATACAAATGGTGGGAACATGGATAAGAAAATGGAGGAATTTTACCTACTAGTGCAAGATGTGTATACAGACATTCTAGATGTAATAAAAACATAGCAGAAACAATAACTGGGGTCACTGAATAATATAGGTTCTTCAGAGAGGAGGGAAATAGAGCTGGTAGCATTACATGAAATATTAGGACAATTTGTGATGAAATGAGGTGTGTCCATAAAACAGATTCTGGTTGGATCAAGCACTTCAATGGTGAAAAAAGTATTTTTGCAGAATTAATGCTGGAGGAAAATCCCCAAGGTGTCAGATTTAACTCTGCAACATTATTGTAGAGAGGAATGTAAGTAAGAATCTGTCATTAGAGGATGTTGAAGCTTGCATGTTTCTTCACCAGTCACTAAACCAACAGAAGATAACGGTAGTTTAGATCTGGGATTTGCTTTGAAATATGTAGATAACAAAATGTAAACTTAACCAAGCATTCAGGCATTGAGTCCATTAATATTACATGACAAAATAAGTAATGGTCAGCAAACTTTAATAAACAAAACAAGCTAGTTAAATAAGTGAAAAATTCTGGGGCTTCATGGATATTTCTGTGAGGAAGACATCAAATTTTATCAAGTATAACACACAGTGTTGTATTTGACAACAGGGGACTAGGTTCAGCCATCCAGGAAGTCCCCTCCAGAGCTATGTTCCTAAATTTGTCAGTTAAATGCAAGAGCCTTAAGTAAAGCAGAGATAATTGTAGGACAGTTTAACAAATTTGGTCACTGTCAGTATTCTCTAACATTCTTTGACTCAATGCTGAATTTGGACATCGGCTGCTAGACAGCAGAATCTGTTCTTGTGACGATGTAGATGTTTGAGATGTAAGACAGGATATTTATTGTCTATTGGATATCTATCAAAACTGCCACTTCATCTAGAGAGTCTTATTCAGATGCCTTCTCCATAGACCAGCCCTCCTGGTCTCCCTCATCCCTGAAAAGTCTCAAGATAGGGTTGGTAGGGTGTGTGTAGAGTTTGTTCAGGTCAGTGAGGAAGACAAAGTTGGGGACAGCACCCGATAGTAAGGACACTGAAATACAGAGATGCTCAGACTGGAGAATAGAAGGCTCAGGGGGATCTTACCAAGTTATATAAATACCTGAAAGGAACATGCAAAGACAGAGCCAGGCTCTTTCCAGTGGTGCCCAGTGACAGGACCAGAGGGAATGGGCACACGCTGAAATGCAGGAGGTTCCATCTGGACATCAGGAAACGTTTTATCACTGTGAGGGTGACCTCTACAGAGAGGCTGTAGAGTCTCCCTCTTTGGTGATATTCAAAAGCCATCTGGACATGATCCTGGGCAACTAGTTCTAGGTGACCCTGCTTGAGCAGGGGTTTGGACAATATCTCCAGAGGTCCCTTCTAACCTCAATCATTCTGTGATTCTGTAAGCCAGCTCCAGTCATTTCATTAGGTTTAATTCTAAAAGCCAAGCAAAGTTTGATGCTTAATATAAATGTTCTGCATAACTTCAAAGATACCCACTCACTGTGAAACTGTGATTTCTGGAGGCAGACTATGGCTTGCTCAGAAAATCAGGCAGCAATTATAAAGGGGATCGCTATTATGCCTGTGCATCTGCACCCATTATTATTAGAAGCAGAGAGAGAGAACAGGCAGAAAAGATACTGCAGGAACCTTTCAGGGAGTTTTCCTAAAGTAGAGAGGTTTTGAACTTTGCATTAGCATGGCACTGGCTCTGTAATGCTCTTATCTCTCTCTTCCCAGCAAATGCTGGGTACTTCTCTCTGTGTCAGCAATGAGGAACTCTTCAGCCTGGAAAATGAGTTAGACTTGGAGAAACTCCTACAGTCCAGAGATTTATTTGAAGGATTTCTGAAATTAACCCCTTTTATTCCTTCTTCATGTCTCATGTTTTGAAACCCTGTTTCTTCCCAGTTTAACACCACTGTAGCCATTTCTTCGAGTTGAACTTAGTAACTCATGCCTTTTTCCCCATCCCTCTTAACCTTCAAATGTATGTTCTCCATATGACTGTACAGCATTATGGGTCCCAGACAGTTCAACTGTGAGTGAGTTACAACTTCAGAGTGTGCCTAGGCATACTATCCATGTTATGCCTCAGAAACCACAAAGACCTTTAAAAATGTTGATTCAGGAAATGCTGAAGAATTTTCTGCTGTCTTCTGAGAGATGATACACGGTTGTTAGTTGAAGGAGCTCTTACCCAAGACGTTCTAATACTCAGTTTTGCCTGTTTAGTGACTGGACAAAGGTGTTACTTGGCCTATATATTTCCTGACTGCGCTCCTTGTGCACAAACTGATTTATTTTCACTGGAGACCTATGTAATGTCAACTAGTTTATCTGATTTTCAAATTTATGAAAAACATATTATTTCAAGTTTTATATCATAACTAATCCTGTACAAATGCATAAGGTGAAAGGGTGAAAACAGACAATTATTTACTTGCCCAGCACAATAAATGCATTATTCCTTTTGCACCCTGCTTAAGTATTGCAAGAGAGGATGAACAAACAGATTGGTCTCCTCCCACCACATATCTGCATTGCCAGCACTCAGGGAAATAAAGACTGCATGGATTAAAAAGTTGCAAGGGTATTATTAAGGCATAAGCTACTGAAACAGAAGCATGCATTGAAGAGGTCTCAGTTCAACAGTATCAGTCCTATTATGAGCAATGTCAGCCTCGCTGCTAATGCGGAAGCAAGGATGAGAATGCAGGTAAGATTTTTCTATACCAGGGCGTAAGCAAATCACAATGAATTGCAGCCATTGCCATGATAATATAGTACAGTACGTTCTTTCTCTCTTTTAAATCTTGACTTTTAAAAACTGTTTTACTCTCAGCTGCTTGAGACAGAAACATTGGAGTTCTTTCGGCACTACCTATGAAGTGACCTTACTGCTTTTGCTTTATGATGCACATTTAAGACAGTATTTGCATCCCCTAAGGTTTCTGTGAATAATATTCACAAAGATTTAAACAAAATCACTTAGCATTTTTTCCCTAGACACCCTCTGAATAAGTCTTTCTCTGAATCATGATTTGTGCATATGCAGTTAATTACTGTCAGGCTGTTAAACAGGCTGATCATGTGGGAATTGACCATTTTGTTTGCACGTAGAAACAGCCTTTGTCTTTCATTGTCACATAGAAACAGTCCTTGCACTGGCATCTTGATGATGATCTTTTTTCCTCAGTTTGCTTGATTAGATCTTTTGATTGAAGTACTTGAAAGACATAATTTCATAAATATACTTGAAGCAATTCCACACAAGCTACCTCATCCTCCCTAAATCATTCTTATTTTATTAACTGAATTTTCAAATACCATTAAAAAACATTACATTATGATAGGTCAATTATTGAACTGTATACCTTGTAGACACCTCACCGTGTTGTCTGTATAAATTATTTCTTGTTCCTAATTAATGGTAGGATAATAAGACAATCTTCACTTAGAAAAATACTTTAACTTGTGGAGTTCTCTAAGCAAACATCCTTCTCCATCGTTACAAAGATGCAGACTGTTTTATTAAAGTGGAAACTGACTGTGGGTTATCAAGCTATTCCGAATATTGCTTGTACTGATTACTCATTTTTATTTTAATACGTACCTTAACAGTACTGTAAAAAAATTATTTGTGGCTGTAAATATATAGATCCATTCTAACAACAAGAAGGAACTTGAACTTATTTCTGAACTTTTCAATAATGGTAGCTGGTTGGTGCATGAGCAATATGGAGATCCATTAATAGCCTGTTGACTTCAAGTATTCTACTTTCATATATGCTCTGACTGGTAGCTCTGTACTATATATAAGACAAGATTTGCATTTTATTTGACCAGCTGGTTTACCTGGAAATATTAAACTGATTTTCAGACACTTGCCTAAATTTTTCTAATAAAAAGTTATTATACCTGCCTACAAAATTTGTCTTGTCATTGTCCTTGAACCATCATGGTACAACAAAATGCCACTAAACGTCTCTATGATATGCAAGATACAGTTTAGTTCATGCCTAGAACAGGAAATGACTGCAGTAGTCCTGGATGTCTGATAGCAAATAAAGACATTTAATAAGAAACTGTCAATATCATGATCAATGCAAAAAGTATTTACTTATGCATATGCATGCATAGTCTTGTATCTCTATTCATTGATTCTTAGATCTGCAAATGCTTACTATTTCCTTTTTTTTTCCTTTTACTCTTCACTAAACAGTGGTATTTCTTGACAATCAGCCCTCCAAATAAACTACCATTGTATCTTATAAAAAAGGAATCTGTGAACTACATGGAAAGGAATCAAAAAAGTAGGGAAGAAATGTTAAGAAAAGATGTATGTCTGGATCCAGCTTAATTTTCCAGCTCTGATCTTCCACAGAAAATAAGTAATACTGTCATTGTCTATTTGTATTACATTTGCTGGCAGACAAACTTTACTTCTTTGTCTCCACTGTTTGAGTCAGTATGTTGATCTCATTTATTTTGTTTTTAGTAGACTCCTATCTCATTAAAAAAAATTGCACTGCATATACAGTAACTGATGTTGTCTCATGTTGTCACTATTTTTTCTTCTCTTTCTAGGTGATGTCATTGTCTATATTAATGAAGTTTGTGTCCTTGGACATACTCACGCAGATGTAGTCAAACTCTTCCAGTCTGTTCCTATTGGTCAGAGTGTCAACTTGGTGCTATGTCGTGGATACCCTTTGCCCTTTGATCCTGAAGATCCTGCCAACAGCATGGTGCCACCCCTTGCAGTAATGGAGAGGCCTCCGGTAGTGGTAAATGGAAGACATAACTATGAAACTTATTTGGAATACATTTCTAGGACTTCTCAGTCTGTTCCAGACGTAACAGATCGACCACCACACTCCTTGCACTCCATTCCAGCAGATAGTCAGCTTGATAGCACATTCCCACCACCTGCCCATGATGATAATGTATCAATGGCTTCTTCTGGGGCCACCCAAGCTGAACTCATGACCTTAACCATTGTGAAAGGGGCCCAGGGCTTTGGCTTCACTATAGCAGACAGTCCTACAGGACAGAGGGTGAAGCAAATTCTAGACATTCAGGGATGTCCTGGTTTGTGTGAAGGTGACCTCATTGTTGAGATCAACCAGCAGAATGTACAGAACCTGAGCCATGCAGAAGTAGTGGATATACTTAAAGAATGTCCTGTTGGAAGTGAAACTTCTTTGATTATCCATAGAGGAGGTAAGTTTGGAAAGTCTGTACAATTACGAAAATGTGTGTAAAAGGTTCTAAACCGTAAGACATACATAATACTCACTACATCCTTGTGTGCTAGACTGGAAATTAATTTCCATGTTGCGGGAGGTAACACCATTGGTTCTGGAAAAGTGTTTCTGCAATTAAGTATCCTAGGCAAAATCTAACAGTTTCTTGTACATTTGTGTTTTGAGTGTCAATGGTCTCACCTCTGTATAAGGGTAAAACTAGAGCAGATCCAGACCTTTCACCCCATAATAGTTTGTATGGTGTCTGCAGCAAACTCTTATAGTCCCAAAGCAGTGCTGCAAGCTTTATATATAATTGTATATATTGACCCATTGAGGTAGATCAAAATCAAAGCAATCTATTAGCCCTTTACAAAGTTACTGGTTTTGGTAAGCCATTTTGCCTCCTTTTCTTTCATTGTAAAAATGTTGTATGAGAGTTGTTTTGTTTCTTTCTTGACAACAAAGATCCATAGTATATTATTCTCTGTTTTAAAAAAATAGCTTCTAGCAACTTAGTTTTTCTGACCAGCCTGACACAGTAAGCTTGAATATACATCACTGGAAGGGGAGAGTCAAGACTTATCTGTAAGGAAGCAATAACAACAGAAGTCTTAATACCTTGACAGAGATAAGTAATTTCATAGCTTTTAGTATTTCAGCCAAACAAATTTTGTTCGATTGTTTGAGATGAGCATCTGTCACAATTTATTATTACCTGAAATGAATAATGATTTAATTTCTTTAACTAAAGTTCTGTGTTATGTTGCTGAATGTACATTACTCTGTGCTTCAAAAGAAAAAAAAAGAAAAAAGATTCTGTCCAAAAATACTAATTACTTTCCTTCTGAAGAGTAAAGGTTGGGAAGTGAAGCTTCAGTGCTTACATATGCCAAATGTTTGTCATTAGAAAACCTACAAATCCTTAAAACAAAGAATATATTAACATTTTATCAAATTGCAGAAATAATAAACATAAGATGATTTAAATATCTGTAGAGTCACATAGTTAATATTTTTCATATCTATATTTAAAAGAATGATTTATAAGAGACAGAATCTGACATTTCTTTGGAATGAAACCAAAGGAAGAGTGAAAAGTAAAGGCCAATTGGTGTCACTGTAGTATATGAACTTGGAGAAAGTTGACTGTTGCAGAGGTGCTATATTAGTTGATATTGAATCTGGTTTTATTTAACATCCATTAAGAATCTGGAACAGTGGAGTAAGCAACATTTTTTTCTGAAGATGCTGTCAAATTAGGCAGAATTGCACAGAAAAAAAAAAAATAGTATAAAGGGGATTAGAAGGGTTAATGTAAGCCCAAAAGATGGGATTTTATTTTGAAAAATGCAATCTAATCCCCCTCTAGAGGAAAACAATTCAGAACACCAATCTTCAGAGAGAAGTGGAGTGTGAAATCCAGTATGCTGAGCAAGCCTGAGTAATAATAGACAGCAAAATAGATATTTCAGCAATGAGTGCAGGACAGTTACAAAAAACCCCTGAAGCAGCAACATACTTAAGCCCATGAGGATAATTCCTCTCTCTCAAGAGAATTTCTTCTTAAAACATTGATTCATGATCAAAACAAGTTGATCAACGTGATAGTTTAACAAGTTCTGGTGCATTAACTGAGCTGTGGTTATTTTCTACACATCACTGTGGCAAGTAAGAGATACTGCACTGAGGTCAACCCTCAATAAAAGCAGTATAGATTTGCACCGTCTTGTCTTTTGTCAGGCCAAGCACTTAGGTACAGACAGTTACCCTAGCTCAGCTGACACAAAATACTAGGTCCAAACACAGTAACGTGTTTCTCTGTTGCTGGGGCAGGGAGTGGTTGGTTGCTTTAGAAAATGCAGAGAAGAGAAAGAGAGCATGTTTTATTCCTGGTAAAAGAATCACTAAGACTAAAGCAACTGTTTGGAAGTACTACAGAATTATTAAACCTAATGGGATGATACAGAACAAATGGAAATTTACTACCAGAAATTTCTGTACATCAGAAGTAAGGAATATACCTTAATGCAAGGTTGTTAGATTCTGAAATTAAGGCTCATTTGTTCGAGTGATTCAAAAGAAATGAAAAAATACAGTGTATGAGATAAACTTACTCTACCTGACAGATGGCTAAATCATAGCTTAAGAGAAATACGAGAACTGTTTTAAGGTGAAAACCTCTTTATTTCTCATAAATTCATAGGAAAAGGGAATCTGTGTGACCAAATATACATCTATAATGCAGGTAATCATATCTATGCTAGTCATCATGTCTCTTTTTATAGTCCCTGGGCAGAAATAGGCCTTTCTAGGGTGCAATTCATGTCATTCTAATGTAGATGTTTCAAATAAGTGAGGTGTACCCTAAAAGTATATATTCTGCTTGACTGACTATAAAGGGAATGGACTGGTTCAGATGTATATGTCTATCCCATGTCTTACGGATAAGAAACAGATGGTAAGTTCTGGTCATGTGAGATAATCGAAATACAAAACAAAATTCTAGTACTTAGAGAAACCTGCTATGATTCTAAAATATTTAGTCTGTGACACTGGTGAGGCAAGGCATACTTTCTCATTACTTATGGATCCAATTTTTATTTTATTATCTCTAATATGTAATGACACTTGAATAATACCATCTTTTTCCGTCATTACCTTATGCATCCTGTCTTTAACATCTCATTTTTAAGATTAAGACCAAAGTACTATTCCTGCCTGTGGAAGAGGAAGGCTGTGTTTTGCATAAGGTTGTGTATTGCCTTGTGATGTGTTCTGTCTCTGATATGAATATTGGCCTGACTGCATAGTTCACTGTGGCAAATTCATTTTTGTAAGTGACTTAGTTTCTCTCTCTCATCCAAGAATCTTATCTACATTGCAGACACAGATCAACACTGCCTGAGATATATTCTCACTATAGGAAAAAAGCATCTTATACAGGAAAAAATATGCATATAGTATGCATGCTACAGCAGTTAAAAAGCCATTGTCCCTCAAACTTAGGAGGTCAACTGCCACAGTATGTAGGGGAAGGAAAGGTCTGCATGTTTCAAAAAGACAGAGGGAATAGCAGTACTCAAATTTAAAGACACCACTAAAGAAAACTGTCTAAACCAACACCAAACAGAGACGTGTCATGGGCTACAATCTAGTTGGAGGAAGTCCCACTGAATTTGTAGTGTACTCATTTTTAAATTTCTAAAGCAGAAGTAGTCATTTACCTGCTTGTTAAAAAAAAAAAAAAATCATGGAAATAATATCATTGTATATCTAACAAAATACAAAGCAGCATTTATTTAGATGACAACTGTGATACTCTATGACTAAAGATCTTACAATATCCTTTCTGGTTATTAGTCAGGGTCTTTGCTAAACACAGATGAGCTGCTTAGTTCAGTTTCTTTGCACCTGTTTTTGCTGATCAGCCATATAGTTTCCACTGATTACTGTAAGCTGACAGAAGTGTTCATACTGAAAAAAGAAAAAAAAATTAAAGGAAAAGATGGTGGAAAGTGTTGCCTAAAAAAAAGAGGAAAAATTAATAGAAAAAAAGGTAAGAAACAGATATGAAAGTGTTTGTTACCCAAACAGATTTACCCCTTTCCAGCTTTGCTTCAGCCTTCACACTCCATCCTCAGCTTCTGCAGCAGTCTGCATTCAGTATAGGCTGCTGAAATAGTGTGGAAGAGCTCTCAAAAATCCGTCTTTCTGAATGTGGATGGAACAGAAATTCTGAATTAGTCCAGAACTACTGAAAAACAGCACCAAGTGGTTGAAGTAGTATGTACCAAATTTATGTAGAGCAAAATATTCACTAATTAGGACATCAAAAATTGGTTTTGGCACATTCTGCTAAATGATTTATCCGAGTACCTGACATATGCCATCTCTTTTGGAAAGTACCCTTGAAATATATGAACCTATAGACAGCAGACCAGCCCCAGAAGTGTTCCTGTCTAAAAAAGAAGCGACACATTCAAGTGTAGATCCATCAAGACTATTTCTGAAATACTGTTGTTAAGGAAATCTGAAGACAACCGAGGACTCATTCATGAAGCTATGGCAACTCATGAAGTGCTGTGAGTGAAACATTAAAACTAAATATAAAAAGTGGGAGCCTAACAAAGTTCCTACATCAGATGGCTATTTTATAATGGTGGAATCCAAACAGGCTCTGAGAAACTGAGGCTGTTAGTACGAAGTGGAGCCAGAGAACTGATGCACTGTCCATACTGGTTATTTGTTAGCCACTCCTGGCATGGAACTGGAATAAGCCAGCAGCCAGTTTCACCCTGACACAATATGGAAGATAGCGTGGGCCACACGCAATGCACAGTCAAGGTGGAGAGCGAGAATTTAACTATGTAGATGTAAACTGTCAGAATAAAAGGAAGGCCAAGTATCTTTCTCAGATTTTGTATAAACCCCAGCAGAAGTTTATAGCTCCTTAAGACTGCTAACAGATACCAGTACCTCACACAAAACATCAGCAATTCCCAAAACAGCCAGAAATTTCACAAAAAACATCTCTGCATATTCTAGTGAGTAAGAGTAGTCCCTCAAAATAAGCAGACTTCAGTGAAAGGAATACTGCATCTTCAGTGCCCTTTCCATGGACTGATCTTCAGATTTACCTCTCTACCACAGAGATTAAATTTGGTTTTGTCCAGGCTAGCTATAAGATGTCTTTCAATTCCTCTGGTCAGGAAAGCTCATACTTCTTTTTCTCCAAGTTGTGCTCTCTCTTGGGAAAGTTGCACAAGATAAAACTGCAGGCAGCACCATCACCCTGCTAACACTACTCTGGCCCAGGCAATTCTGATCTCCTGGTTCCACGACCTCAGGCCACCACTGAGGTCTCTAGAGCTTTGACTCTGCTTCTGTGGTTCTTCATTCAAAATATTAGGAGAGTACCTCGTTCAAACTGGAGACCCTGTATCTCATGGCTTGCTCATCCGCTATTCAGGACTT